ATATTGGTCGGGAGGGCCGGCCGGGATTTCCCAGAGAAGACCAAAGATGTAAATGGGCCAAAGCTCCCAGTCAGCGAGAGATTTGAGGAGTAGCTTGGGTGTGATTGCCTGCCGATTGTGCATATCGCATTTCGAGGGGTCGTCGCGAAGGATTCGGTTAACCAGGATCTTCTCTTCCTGTTCGTTGAACCATCCATTAGGTCGCCACCAAGCCTTTGTTTGCGTTGGTGAAGCTGCCATTGCGAACCAGGACCACACACTGATTGACAGAGTAATGATCCCTTCAATTAGGAAGAGCCATCTCCAGCCCTCGTAGCCGTTGATCCCATCCATGCGAAGAACACCAAGCGCTAGCAGGGGTGCGACGATGTCCGTGATTCGACGGACTGTCCAAAACATGGCAAGTCGAAAGGGGAGCTCGGTTGACTTGAAGAAGTACGTCAAGTACAAGACCACATCGGGAATGAAGCCGCCCTGAAGGACACCCAGGAGTGCACGACATACAAGGAAGGAGGTTCGACCACTTAGCCAGAATTGACAGCCCGATACCAGGCTCCAGGAACACATGATGAAGGGAATCCAGCGGTCCGGGCCGAGCTTCTTGCTGACCATCTGCGACGGCAACTCTGCGCAGAGGAAAGATATTTGGAAGACTGTGTTGCCAAGATTGTAGTCGTTGGTGTTCATGCCAAGGTTCTCGAGGAAAGAGGCCGAGTTGGCTTGACTCAGATTGCCTCGAGGCAGATCGAGAGCGAAGAAAGCTGTGGCAACGTTAGAATCTAAGCATCGGGGTTCATATACCATGATACACATACCGAGACACGCCCAAAGTGTCACACGCCAATCCATCTTCGTGATTAGAGGCAGCTCCTCGCCCCAGCTCCATCGAAATGTCGGATCAAAGCGATGCAGATTCTCATACTTTGGATGTGGCTGGAAGAACTTCGCAGTGGAAGGGTGGTCGTAGACGGACGGCTGTGTTGCTATCGCACTGGGATCGTACCCATTCTTCTTCTTGAAGAAGGACAAAATTGGGATGATGGGAGCATCTTGCTGGCGGAGGTCGGCTTGCTCACGGAGGATGCGATTCTTTGTTTGCTCGATCTCCTCGTCAGTCGCCTCGAGATTGATCGTGTCAGTGTCTTTCTTGCTCTCGGGCTCCGAGGCCGAGGCCGAGGATTTCTCGACGATTTGCTTCTCGGACATTTTTGGGTGCACAGGCTTCCCAGAAGAGTTGATGGTTTTTGGAAGCTCAACTCGAGCAAAGAATCATTCCCTCGACATCACGGGGGCCGAGGATACGTATTTGAGGATTCTGTTTTTAGTCTGGCTACAGTGAACACAACAACCTGGCCATTGGCGTGATCTTGTTAGCGTAATATTCGTGCGTTGCGCACCTGGATGTTCAGGCTGTAGTTGGCAGATTGTTTTGCGCGATATTCGATCCCTTCTACCCGGTCTTATGGCAACAATGACAAAAAAACAAGGGGAAGACACTGCCAAGTATTCTCAACACTGATAGCTCGACACTTCATGGCTGAACGCCAATGATGTATCCGCAGACATCACTTCAACCCCCAGCTAAATCCATTTTCACAGCTGATTTCCTCAAAATTGTGTTCTTGGTAGTTCTTGGCCGTGGCAGTGTTCGTTCCTCGCCGACAGCGAATGAACAATTCGCGTCCCGAGGATGGCTACGAGAAGAAGTGAGAAAGGAGCAATTGTGAGCGAGACTGGGATGATGATGCGATTTACCAAGAGAAAGACGTGCTTTTGTCTGCGATAAGTTTGCAATGACAAGACTACAGGCAGCATTTAGCGGTTGCTTGGTAGTCTTGGTAATGCGCCTTGGCAACCTTGTTCAGGAGGCGAGCGCTGTATTTATAATGAGCGGGTGCCGATTTCGTAATTTGGTTGAAGCATGGCGACATGGAAATTCAGTCGAGGTTTATTCCACCGTGGAGATCTTCCTCTCGTAGGAGTTTCTTTTAAGATTCCTTGTCTCGAGACTTCACTTACTGCAAAGGAATCTGATCTGGCCACAAAGTCAAAGTCCAGCTTTACTTGGCTATTATCGTGCTCTATCTGCGTGCATCATGGCCCATTCGCCGCATGCGTGGTACATCATTATGCTTCTAAGGATCTGCTCCCGTCTATATCTTCTAATCATGGATACTCCCGACACTGATTCCAACCTGATTCCTCACTCTTGACGACTGTTCTCGGACCAGAAGGAAAGACCTGACTGGGCCCTGAGAGTTCCATACAGAGCCGCACCGTCCAGGTTCTCGCCTCCATACGCTCTTGCGCTGAGCATATTGTTTGTCGCAGTATCCAGCGCCGGCATCCTCACACCCAGGTCGTTGGCAACTCGGAGCGCATGTTTCGCGTCCTTGATGGTGTTCGACACAAGGAATCCAGCCGTGCCTTCCTTGGGAGCCCAGGATCCGCTAGTCATCCTGCGCGAATAGCTCCCCAATACCGGTCCAAAGTTCTCAAAGATGAGATCTTCCATCACGTTGCTGCCAATGCCGTTCTGCTCAGCCAAGACTTGAGTCTCGGCAATAGCCTCGAGGAAGACGACGAGAAGCACGTTTCTGCAAAGGTCATGTTAGCCACCATCGCAAAGTCACGCGTACCTCGAGACGCCACATACCCTGTCACTTTCAACATGGGGGCCTTCTTGACATCCTCGCCCATGTTGATGACTTTCCTTCCCATCACATCAACAACCAGAGGTTCAAGACGCTCGATAGCCGCCGCGGGGCCCGCCATGGCGAAGATGAGTCTTCCGGCCTGAGCGACTGGGTTGGCACCAAAGACCGGGGCAGCGATGAAGGTGGCACCGGCCTTTTGCAGGGTCTCCGATACGGATCCCGCCGTGTCGGGGTGTATTGTGGAGCAGTCGATGAACGTCTTGCCGCTGAGATCGATGCCGCTTGCAAGGAGTTCCTCGACTAGCGATTGGAGAACCGCGTCTGCCGAGACCTGTTTGGACAGTCAGAAGGCAGTCCTCAAGACACAACTTCCAGGCGAGGTAGTGTATCATGGCAAGACTGACCATGGTGAAAATATCGTCGCATATTTGCGCAACCTCTACGATGTTGTTCTTTGCAACAGCTCCTGCTTCTACCAAAGCGGCTCCCTTTGATACAGTGCGGTTTGAGAATGTCAGGTTGGCGCCGTGAGACTGAAGCTTCTTTTGCAGGTTGATGGCCATGGGCAAACCCATGGATCCAAGGCCGAACTGCTTCTTGGTTAGTACGTCACTCCAACAAACTGAAAATGTTACGATTCAGTCCACTTACCCAGCCGACAGGCTTGATTTTCTGCATATTGTGTAAGTGAGGTCTAAGTAGGTAGCCGGTAGAGTGGCTCTAGATTCAAGTTGAACGAAATATAGTGGTAGTCCAAGTCCCAAATGTATTCTCATCAGTATTCGTTTTGTTTTCTTCCATCGTAAACCGGCCTTTATGTCTGGCTTCTTGAAGCATTTTTGCCTCCTTCGTCGGCTTGCGACCCGACGTCAAGCGGCGATGCCGTGAGGCCTATATTGCTGGCGGAGGATAATGGCTCATCGCCTATCAATGATGTGGACAAAAGATAAGCTTCAATCTAAGCTCGAATCGACGAAACCATACCTTTTACTTCCAATCTCAATCCTCTTCCTGCTCAAATGCTGATGTGGTGCAGCGATGCCGGCCCGCAATCCGAGAATGGCTGATAAGCATCTCTCGGATGATCCGCCCGGGACCCACTCCGCACTCCAAGAGATCTAACATGCCCGCTTTCGGAGTCGAGGTCCGAGCAGTCGACACAAGTGTCGTTGGTCTGTTTTAGCACTACTTTCATCGAATTCCTTGGCCGATCTTGCTTGCTGTCGGATTACAGACCGAGGGGTGGCGTCTTTCGGTAAAGATCCGATCTTATCTTTGCGTTTACACAAAGGCGAATGATGTAAGTCAATTTCGGGCAGTCCCTTGAGTTCTCGGAGTATGTAAGTGCCTATAGGTCCGTCGATACCGGTCAAATATTGACTTCTTTTAACGATAATAGAAAGGCTTTGTACTTCACATGAAGATATATCACTGCTGAGCTTCAAAGAAGGGCTCAAGTAGAAGGCACGACGAGATGTGCGCCCCTGTCCTAAAAAGGTATTGCCTTGCCTCGTGTCAGTTTGAGTCAACTCATACAGATCCCATTGCCTCCACCCTACCGGTTTCCATCTTGAAAAATTCGATTCCGCAATGAAATTTGCTGACTTCTTGATCTAACCAACACCATGGTAGTTTACACATGATCAACTATGGCATGATCTATAGTAGGCCTTGAGCAAATATTTCCCCATCTTCAGAAGGATCAGTAGTGCTTATTCACATCTCATTTCACCCCAATGCAAGCTCGAGGGACCATATCCTTATTGTGGCATTTTGAGAAACCTGTTAGTTGAGATTGGACAAATAATCTCACTTCCAGGAGAGAAGCAGGTCCCTAAGGGGTCAAAAGATTCACCGGAAGAAGTCTACTCGACTTTTCTCTGTGAGACTCAAAGCTTTGACAATTTCTACAAGCTTGAGGCTTATCTGCTTTCACGGTGCCTTGAGGCTATAGGCGTAGGATCTGTGGTTGCCAGTCAGACTTCCAGAGTTACACTGTATCCCAGTCGTCCAACGGACACCTTCCGTTTCAAGCACTTGGCGTTGCGATCACCCCACTCACAGAACCTGGCACCGTAACCCTCTCCGCGGCGTGGCTTCCACGAAGAGCAGCTCAATGGCCATGCAGATGAGGACATCTCGTATCGGGGCTTGCTAAGATTCGAATTGCCTGACGTGAAAGTCGAGGGGTATGGCAGGATGCGACAAACATCACATGAGAAGAGGAGCATTAAATGATCAAAAGCCCCGGTCCTGCACCAGGGTCTAGTTATCGACTTTTCTGAGCTATCATTCTGAAAATTGGTCCAAGTTCCGCCATCAACAACCTTCATGAGCTTCAAAATGAAAGGATTTTGTGTGTTTGGCATCGCCATCGCCTCTCTTGTTGCGCAAGGAGCTGCCGCGCCAAATCCGCAGCAACAACAAAGCACGGCTGCTATCCCTTGCAGATGGATCGTCACTCTCAAGTTAGGTATCGACAAAAGCGACGTAAAGCAGCATCTCGATTGGATCCATGATACTCACAGACGAAGCTTATCCCGTCGTCAGACCACTGGAATCGAAAGGACATTCGGAATCGGGAATTTTCATGGCTACACTGGCGAGTTTGATCAGCAGCTGTTGGCCGAGATTGAAGCCAAAGATGAGGTGCGTGTTCCTGGACGTGACGAGATTCTTGACGATGTCCCGGTAATTGACATTGATACGGCGCCTCTCAGGTCATTGCAATCGAGCCAGATCATGAAGCTGCATTGACAGCGCTCACCGAGGTTAGCGACCAGCCCTGGGGCCTAGCCAGCCTCTCGTCGCGATCAAAACTTATCAGCGCCGACGTGGATCACCAAAGCTACGTCTACGACACGAGTGCGGGAACAGGCACATTTGCCTATGTTCTAGATACCGGGATTCGCATCTCCCATCCCGACTTCCAGGGGCGCGCGATCAAGGGCACCAACGTCTTTCCCGAAGTTGCCCACGACGATGATTTTGGGCACGGTACGCACGTGGCTGGCATCATTGGATCCTTACGGTTCGGTGTCGCAAAGAATGCGACTATTGTCGACGTGAAGACGACCAGGGTTGCTTATAGCACGACGGCCAAGATTATCGAGGCGTTGGAGTGGTCTGTACAGAATATCACCGACACGCCTGGGAGGGTTGGCAAGTCCGTCATCAGCATCAGCCTAGGTAGGTCGTCTGCTCCTTCATTGAAACGCTCAAAGCCTCACTTCTGACCCAACATTAGCGACCGCTACATCCACGGCTTTGAATGACGCCGTAGACGCAGCTACAAGCTTAGGCGTCTTCGTTGTCGTCGGTGCTGGGAACGACGGAAAGGATGCGTCCACGAGATCGCCGGCTAGTGCGCCGACTGCCTTCACCGTTGGCGCGATTGACATTAACAGCACCAGAGCTACGTGGTCCAACTATGGGCCTTCTGTGGATGTCTTTGCCGCCGGTGTGGATGTGAGATCGACTTCGTTGTACCAAGATGGGACTGAGCTTCTGTCGGGAACGTCAATGTCAACACCACACATTTCCGGGTTGGCGTTGTACTTGAAGGGATTGGAGGGCTCTGCTGTGGATGCACCTGCGGCGATTGGAGCTCGCATCAAGGAACTTGCTACCAAGGATGTTGTCACCGATGCTGGAGTTGGAAGCCCCAATCTTGTTGCATACAATGGGAATGGTCGACGATGAGGGGTTAAAAGGTGTTGTTAACTGGACAGATGTTAACCGCAGACCGGAGTTGCCTCCGATCAAGGTGAGGGCACAGATCTGGAGCCGTCACCGAAGCTCACCTCGGTATGAGTAGTCAGCAAAGCTCTAGTGACCTTTTTCCACCGCCATTAAACGCAAAAAGTTCCAGGCAGGATGGTCTAGACCTTTGCAAACACAAAGCAATTGAATGCAAGCGCCGGGCTTCTGCGGGCTTATCTGGGACACCAGCTGCGGCATGACGTCAAGCTTCCCTGTCAAGTTGGAAAATCCAAGGCAGGAGACGCCTGGAATTCCATCGCGATTCGACGCCAGTCCCAACAGAATTGACGGGCCAGCCGTCCATGGATTCATGGCATCCTGCTAGCGTCGCGCCATTTTCCAGGTTAGGGGGGGGACTCGGGGAGACAGGCCCTTTGTTGTCGCAGAAAGCGCATGTAGTTTTGTGTCTGGCCATGCGTTGGAGCTACCGTATCGAGCTACCGTGTGGAATGCTGCGATTCGACAATTTGATTTGCTCGCAGTCGCCGCGTCAACCTGCGTTTTGTGTTGCATGAGGAGCAGCAGCAGCAGCAGCTACGATGCGTCGTAAGATTCTGTTGGTGAACCAACCGATAGGAGAGGACGGTGCGTGCATTCTGTAGCTCGGCGGTCGGCAGTCTAGAAATTATATCATATGGGAGTTACTTCTTCTTCTACAGCCTGACGTCTTGTCCCGATCCCTTTTTCTCTTCTCTCTCTCCTCTCAATCATTCGCCTTCCCCAAATTCCTAAACGCCAATTCACCCTTGTTCTACCTACCCCCTCCTCGACCCCTCCAACCCCTCCATTCACTTCCCCGCCAGCCGTCAGCCGCAACGGCACAATCGCCCATCATGGGAGACCAGGAACCGACCCCCGAGAACCACACGATGATGCAGGGCTTCGAGTGGTACGTGCCTGCGGATCAGAAGCACTGGGTCCGCCTCGAGAAGCATGTTCCCCAGCTCAAGCGATTCGGTGTGGACAACATCTGGATCCCGCCAGCGTAAGACGATCCCGATTGAATCACGAAGACCAAGGCCAGCCCAATTGACTCCGAATCTAGGTGCAAGGGATCATCAAAGACTGGAAACGGTTACGACATCTACGATCTGTACGTATTGCGATCCAATTTTCTGCCGAGCCAGCACATCTTGCTAATCATCCTGAAAGCTACGACTTGGGTGAATTTGACCAAAAGGGTTCCGTAGCGACAAAATGGGGTACGAAGGAGGAGCTTCTGAAGCTGGCGCACACCGCCAAAGACAACGGCGTCGGCATCTACTGGGACGCCGTCCTCAACCACAAGTTCGCGGCCGACCGCAAGGAGAAGTGCCTCGCTGCCGAGGTCGACTCCGACGACCGCACAAAGTTCGTCAGCGACAAGTACGAGATCGACGCCTGGGTCGGCTATGACTTCCCCGGTCGCAAGGGCAAGTACAGCGAACAGAAGTACCATTGGTACCATTTCAGTGGTGTGGACTACAATGCCAGAAACGAGAAGACGGCAATCTATAAGATCTTGGGTGATAAGGGTGACCAGCAGTGGGCGGAGAGCGTCGATGACGAGAAGGGCAACTAGTAAGATCAGGCATTCGTTGGCTGGAACATGAGCCATGCTAATAATGTGTAGCGACTTCCTGATGGGTTCTGATCTCGACTACGACCACCCCGAGGTTGTTAAGGACGTTCTCAACTGGGGCAAGTGGCTGGCCCAGGAGGTGCCACTCAAGGGCATCCGTTTCGACGCCATCAAGCACTATAGTGAGGACTTTTTGCGTCAATTCATCACCGAGCTGGACAAGGAGTACGGCAAGGGCTGGTTCTTTGTCGGCGAGTTCTGGAAGGACAGTCTCGACGACATGTCCGAGTACCTGCAGCGCATGGGCAGGCAGTTCACCCTCTTCGATGCGCCTCTGGTCTACAACTTTAGCGAGATCAGCAAGGGTAACGGTGCCGACATGAGAAAGGTCTTTGACGGCACTCTGGTGCAGAAGGAGCCCATCAACGCAGTGGTACGCATCATCAGCATCGCTTCACTCCCACCACATTAACGAGACGGTAATCTGACTGTCCGCAGACCTTGGTCATGAACCACGACACGCAACCCTACCAGGCCCTGGAGGCCCCGATCGAGGGCTGGTTCAAGCCCATCGCGTACGCCCTCATTCTTCTTCGCACCGACGGATACCCCTGCGTTTGGTACGGCGATATTTACGGCATCAAGGGCGAGCATCCCTTCCCGCCCTCGTGCGGCGGCGCGGTGCCGAAGATGACGCTGGCCAGGAAGCTCTACGCCTATGGCAAGCAAGCCGACTACTTTGACTACGCGACATGCCTGGGCTGGGTCAAGTACGGTACCTGGGACCGCCCCTACGGCTGCGCCGTGGTGGCCAGCAACGCTGGGCCGGGATCCAAGCGAATGCATGTCGGTGAGATGCACGCCGGCGAGGTCTGGACCGATGTTTTGGGCTGGAATGACAGAGAGGTCACCATTGGCGACGACGGCTTTGGCGAGTTCGTGTGCTCTGGTACCTCGGTGAGCATCTTTGTCAACAAGAATGCTGACGGCAGAGACAAGTTCAACGAAGAATTGTGAGTATTTGTGACCCCATGGAAGAAGCGAATGGGAACTAACCTTGACAGTGACTCGAACATCTACGAGGAATAGAGTAGATATGATGGGACTAGGCCAGGGGAAGAATTGGAGTTCCTAGAATAGCTACCAAGTAGCTGTAGATTTTATGCTTCACACGAGTATGTGTTTGATGGAAAAATAATCAAGTTTAATCAAATGGTCAAACTCAGGAACAACAGTCCTCTTCAGCCTTGCGCTTCCGAGCTCTTCAAGTGCCCTTGCACTCATGACATGGTGCGCCTGCCATTCGGCAGTTCGTTCCTCGCCATGGCGGCTGAGCTTTATGCGAAACAATGAGCACACACTGGCAGCTCTTGTTCACAGATCTTTTCAAAAGATTATAGTCTTTGCTCCCAGTGACCGGGCAGAGCCTCGAGAGAGATCTTCGGGGGAGCAGGCGGCCGAGAGGTGGGCCCGTAGCCCGGACCCGAAGACCAACCTACCCCGCCATGGTGCTCAATATTAGTATATCACCTCATCCTACTTGGTGAATGCGGGGGCGAAGTAGACCACGCCGGCGGCGCAGGAACTATGAGTATCAATCACTATGCCGTTTCCCAAGTTGTTATTGTGGTTTGTGTTCTATCCGTGATTCTACAGATGCCTGACCGGGCCGGACGGAACTAGTTCCCTAGGCACGGCGGGGCGGGGCCGGCCCGGTTGGACGGGACCCACCCTGATTTCCAAGCACGCAAAGTTGAGCTTGTGCGTTTGCGGTAAAAAACTGGCATCTTTTGCATGCGATAGGTACCTTAGTGGCCTAGCTAGTTTGGGGGTGATTACATAACGGATGTATCCCATGATAAAATATTGAAGATTGTATCCTCGGAAGACTTATTAACAGATCATTCAGAGATACTCTTCACCAATGCCTGCTACCACTCTTGATCCGTCGGAGAGAAGGGCAATATCAACCACTCTCAAGAGTCTCAGGAATCGCACTTATCGGACGGAGGGAACTGGTATTGCTGGTTAAAGCCGAAAGTCGCAACGTGTTCCCTGGACCCTGTGCCTCTTCAGCCCTATTTCAGTATTGAGGATCCGTAAACTGGTTCCCTTTTGTCCGGCACATGATGTTGAAGAAAGCTTAAAAGCCGGGGTGTCGAGTTTTCGGTGACAAGAGGCATGGCTGAGATACTGGTTTTGGTTGATATACTCGTACATCCCCGAAAAAGCCCACGACTCAATCCCAGCGTTGTGCGCCATTCTGTGGTTCTTCACCACTCCACAGATGTCTTATCGCCGATGGGAAAACACGGCAAAGCGGTTCCGCACGTCACATATCCCCGCCGTGCCGTGGGGACTTCAATTTCATGCTCGATGCTCCAGCCTCTCATCCTTCTCCTCCAAGGCTCCAAGTTCCAACACCCATCCGAAATGCTCCATGCCCCCATTCCTGACATCCCCCACCATCCCCCCCCCCCCTTTTGGGCCGAATGCAGTAAGTGAATGCGGAGTAGCTACACTGAGCTTCGATTGGACTGGAAGCTCGCTCCGGAGTGCTATGCTGACCGTCATCCACCCATCAACGACCCCTCCAATTCAAAGCTCCTATCGTCGGCCTTCCAATGGCCGCCGGCGCATTCGTACACCCAGAGCTGGAGCAAATAGAAAAAGATGCTCTCCTCTCCTCCCCTTCGCTTGCACATCGCTCGCAGTTCCTCTTCACTAGTCAAACCTCTTTCGACTTGTTCATTTCCTTGTCGATTTCGATTCTGTGATACCCCTCTACTCCGACAGCGCCACCTTGACCTCAACCCTTACGCGAAAAGGACACGCCCAGGAAAACGGCCAGCGGCGCGTCACTTCTTCTCATCAACCCCTCGCCACCGTCAATCAGATAATATCGCCGCAATGTCCGATCTCTCTGTTGAGCTGACGGCCCCCAACGGCGTCAAGTACACCCAGCCGACCGGACTCTTTATCAACAATGAGTTTGTCAAATCTGCCAAGGGCGAGCTCATTGACTCGATAGATCCTGCGTAAGTTGTCACCTAGCCCCCTCATCCCTCATTCTTCCTGTGCATCACATGCGATTCCCTCCTGCCTTGCCCTAGATGACGAAACTGACAATCACACGTTACCTACAGCACCGAGGAAAAGATTGCTTCCGTCCAGGCTGCAGAGGTCGAGGACATTGACAAGGCCGTTAAAGCCGCACACGCCGCCCTGAGACATGAGTCCTGGAAGGGCATCTCGGCTACGGATCGTGGCATCCTCATGTACAAGCTCGCCGATCTGATTGAGCAGCACAAAGAGACTCTTGCTACTATCGATGCATGGGACAATGGTAACCCCACAATCTCTACAGTCTGTCCTATGA